GATAACTTTGCTTCACAGTGGTGGTGACCTTTGAGCCGGAACATGATAGATAAATGCCAGGTTACTTTATAGAGAGATCTAAAGGGAAGATTATTCTACGTAGAAGGAAATAGTGTGTGAAAAATCAACAGATGTTTTCTAAACACCTTTCATGTTTAATGCCTTGGAGATGCAGAGATAAATAGACTTTGTAGGATAATGGTGTGTATGTGAGAGTGCGAAAGGGAGGCAGACTGAAGGCAGGGGTACTAGTAAGGAGATACTGAAAGAGTTCAGACCGGAGAGGATGAGTGAAGAACCAGGGAAGTGGCAGTGAAGAAGAAGAGGTGGGGACAGATTGAGAGCTGAGGATGGAACCCTGGGGACCTTCAACACTTATGGAGGAGATGGAGACTGAGAGCAAGATGGAAATAACATAGATTAGAAGAGAACCAGGAAAGTGTTGTTCCACAGAACCCAAGAGAAAAGAGTTTCAAGGAAGAGGAATTAAGTTGGTACTTTTGATGAGAGAGAGTGTTGTTGCAGTGGGCAGTGGACAGGAGATGAGGCCAGAAAGATCAGTTGGGATAAGGAGTCAAGACTTCGTTGAAAACTTCAAAAATAGTGATCTGGTCACTGTTTTGGTCCTTTTTTTGAAAGATTAGCCTTAGGTAGTGTGGAGGATATTGTGCGGGAATGGAACTGGAAGCAACAGTTCATATTGAAGCAGAGTGGAGTAGCAGTTGGGCTGTGGATAGTTGAACCTGGTCTGTATGTGTAGAGTGGCCACAAGGGATATAGAAGGGGAGACAGAAATATCTGCTAGTTCATAAATAGAACTAAAGTGATTTAGGGAAGAAAGCAGACTGAGGATGACTGATACTCTTCAAGTTGTGGGAAATTATAGTACAGAACTGATATTATGATGCTGACTGATATTTGAGTCTCATCTTCTAATCCCGCTTTGTTTTCTTGTTTTCCAGCCATTAATGGGTTTCTGTTCTCTAACCTGCCCAGGCTGGACATGTGCCAGGGTGACATGGTGGCCTGGCATCTGCTCGGCCTGGGCACTGAGACTGATGTGCATGGGGTCATATTCCAGGGCAACACCGTGCAGCTTCAGGGCATGAGGAAGGGTGCAGCCATGCTCTTTCCTCACACATTTCTCATGGCCACCATGCAGCCTGACAACACCGGTAAGTGCTTTACAAGCTAGTGCTAGGCTCAGAGACTTTGTACAGATTTGAGAGTGGGGAACTGGTGAAGAGAAAAGAAGAAGCATGTTGAGACCCCTGGGAAAGTTTTCAAAGTTCTTTTGTCTTCCTCCTCAACATGCTTTCCCTGTTCTTGTTCTTTAGATGCTCAGCTACAAGCCAAATAGAATGAATGGAAAGCTGAGGAAAGTCTTTTCTGGAACAACAGGAGAGAAGCCTGGGTGCTACTCAGCTTCAGGCAGTTCTCAAATAGACAGAGGGTGAACTCAGCTAAGTAGTGCCTTGGCCACATAGAGAATATAATCCTATGCAAGATTATCCTATAATCTTATCCTATAAGAAATAGCTCTTTTTCTGGAAGGGAGGTTGATGAGAAGTACCTAGAAGTGCTTTCAACTATGAAATTCATTGAAGACTTCTGCAAACTCTTCTGCTTCTCTGTGCATGTGTGGGATGACCGTAACATTTTCTGCCCAGGACTCAGAACACACAAGTTCATTCATTAACTTGCTCTGTAATTTTGGTCCAATCATTACTCTACTCTGCAGCTTGCTTTACTTCCTTCCTTTCTTCACCTTCTCCCATCCCTTTTTGTAATGAGATTTCACTAGAACGATTCTTCAAATTCCATCTATGTCTGGCATTTCCTAAAAGAGCTTTTTTTTTTTTTTTTTTTTTCGTAGACCTTAGGTGTACTCTTTTTCCAGCCAGCAGGTGGTATAGAGACTGTAAGAAAAATATAGCCATTCTGGTGCTGCAGTGCCTAAGATATTTGACTACTAATCAGAAAACTGGAGGTTCAAACTCACCAGCCACTCCAGGGAAGAAAGATGAGACAATATACTTCTGTAAAGAATTACCACCTCGGAAAACCAGTGGGGGTTGCTATGAGTCGGAACCAACTCGATGGGAGTGTGTTTGGTTTTTAGTTTGGTACTTTTGTTTCAGTTTTGTAAGTTCCATCGATATCTGGAAAGGAGCTCTGGTGGCATACTGCCTACGGCATTTGACTGCTAAACAGAAGGTTGGTGGTGCAAACCCACCAGCCACTCCATGAAAGGAAGCCTCTGATATCTACGTCCTTAAAGATTTACCACCTTGGAAACCCAAAGCAGATCTCTTTGAGTTGGAATCAACTCGATGGCAGTGATTTTTCTTTTTTTTTTTTTTTTTTTTTAGGGCTCATTCTCACTTTGGATGAATGAAATTATGTCTGTGTTGTATTTAGACCCAAAAAGTGTGGCTATAGGTCTAATGGTTGGAGTAGGGAGAGAGAGGGTGAATGTGTCTGCAATAGTACAAGCTTGGAAGGTTACTCTTCATCATTATTCTTGATTTTTTTTTTTTTTGGCTAGCAAATTCACAAACCTTTTTTACATTTTCATTTTCCAAGCTTTTCAACCTTTTATCTTCCCACAAGTGATCCTGAATCATAGAAGGGTACAACTGAAGAGGGTCTTTGAGAAACCTCAATTATTTTAGTTTCCTGATGAGGGCAAGGTTCAGACCTGGAGGAGGACAATAGTTTTCTCAGGTTAGAAATGTTAGCACTATTTTTTCCCCTTCTCTCTCTTACCCTTTTTCATTAACTCCTGTTGATTCTTTGTCCTAGATAATTTATTGAATCCAAAATGTCCTCTGTCATGAGACAAACTATATGTGAACTGCTATATGGAAAGTGAATTTGCTCTGTAAATCTTCACCCAAATCACAATAAAAAAATAGAAAAAAAAAATGTCCTCTGTTCTACTCTTAAGGCTTGTTCTCTGACTACTGATGAGACAAATCTTTGTGCCTCTCTAGAGATCTAGACAAAGGTACTGAGTTAATGAAGAATAGTCAGGACCATATTCTGGCTTTGACACTCTAGAAAGAAGAGTAGCAATAGGGAATGTTACATATACCTGTGAGCTTGAGGAACTTTGTAGGTGGTTTTAAAATTTCTATGCACAAATACTATGTGTTATAAATTGAATGTTTTCAATTAAGTATGAAAAAGGAAAGAAAGAAAAGCAAAAGCCCACAAAGAAATGTAGCAAAAGTCTTTGAGTCATTGTTGGGCTATTGGTGGTTTTTTAAAAAATCATCTTTTCTCTTTACTCTAAATTTTAATAAGTGGCTCAGTGCCTAAGGCATTTGACTGCTAACCAGAATATTGGCAATTCAAACACACCAGCCACTCCGTGGAACATGGGGCAATCTACTTCCATAAAGATTTACTGCCTTGGAAGTCCAATAAGGATCACTATGAGTTGGAATTGACTTGATGGCCTTTTTTTTTTTTAATATTACATTCAATAGAAAATAAAGTATTGTATTTAAAAATACACCCTGGACAATAGTCCTCAGGTTTCGGTAGAGCTTCCAGACTAAGGCAGACTGGGAAGAAGGATGGGGCTATCCACTTCTGAAAAAACTGGCCACTGAAAGCCTTATGAATAGAACTACTAATACTAGAGCTTTAATAGGCTGAGAAAGTAGTAGACACAAATGGCTAAAGCTTGTAATATGCTATTGTCCAGTGAAGTCATGTGAGACTTTTCAGCAGCAAAGAGACAAATACTCTTCATTGCCTTGGTTCCTCACAAGGATTTCTATCCTCTCTCACTACTGGAACTCTTCATTTGTTTTTCCCTTTTGTCTCTCTTTCTCCCATATTTTTCTTTTTCATTCCCCCTTTTCTCATATTTTTCCTTTCCCTTTTGCTTATGTTTTTTCTTTTCTCTTTTCTTATATCTCTTCTTTCCCATTCCTCTGTCTTCCTTCATTTCTTCCTTCTTTTTCTGCCATCTCTTATTTTTGTCCAATCTTCACTCATTTTTTTACTTTCCCTTTTTCTCACATCTTGTTTGTCCTTTGCTCTTTCCTTCTTTTTCATTTCCTCCTTCTCTCACTTTCCTATCCTTCTTCCTTGTTTTTGCTTTCCTTCTCTCCATTTCCCTTACTTTTCTTTTTGGTTCTTTACCTCATATTCTTTTCTCCCTGTTATTTTTAATTTTACCTTTTCCCTACGTCTTTTCTCTTCTTCATCTATTAAAATTTCCCAAAACATAGTAAACATTCATTTTCTTCTTCTTGTTTTGCCAGGTGTTAGGGATGTGAAAATGAATGAGGAAGCTCACAGTTAGAGAAAAGGGAGATATGTATATAAACAATATTCACAAGGTAATGATGATGCTATGTACCAAAAGCCATAATGACAGAGAGGAAATTATGAAAAATTCTGCCTGAATTTAAGCTTCCTTAAGAAAGTAGACATAAAAAAGGAGCTTTTAAGAAGATGAGTAAATTTTAACTAGACAAAGAAATAAATGGGTGGTGAAAAATGGCATGATAAGCAGTTGGAACCATATGGGAAAGGGTTGGAATAGAATGATTTGACAGAATGCTTTTCAACTCAACGTATTATGATAAAAGTGCACTTGGAAATTTGTGGAGGTAATTTCAGTTATCACAATGAAGGAATAGAGTAGGGAGGCGGTACTACCAACATTTAGAAAATGAGCACTGGTGATGCTAAAAGTTTCTCCGATATGTTGGACAGCTTTACAAGATGGAATATTTCACCCAAAATGCTAGTACTGCTATTTAGAAACACCAAGAGTGTAGAGCTTAAAGAGTATACAAATGGCTAAAACCACAGAAAGAGAAAAGGGACCAAATTATGAAGGATCTTGTTAAGTAGTTAGGACTTCTAGATCATCAGAATCCATCAAAGGTTTTATTTCTTTTGTTAAGATGATAAATGCCAGTATTTGATGTGCATTTTTATAAGTTTACTATCTCACTCACTGCCATCGAGTTTATCCTGCCTCAAAGTGACCCCTCTTTGAGTTTCCAAGGTGGTATCTCTATGGAAGTAGATTGCCCAGTCTTCCTTCCAAGGAGTGGCTGGTGAGTTTGAACCACCAGTCTTCTGGTTAGCAGTCAAAATCTCTTAGTCACTACACCCCCAGAGCTCCAAATATAGTAGAAAAAATATCTCTGAGCTCTAGTAGCATACTGCCTAAGGCACTTGACTACTAACCAGAAGGCTGACATTTCAAGCCCACCAGCCACTCCTCAGAAGGAAGATGGGGCAATCTACTTCCATAGTGATACTGCCTCAGAAACCCACGGTGGGGTCGCT